TTTATTCTGTTTTTCACATTTTCTATTTAAAGCTCTATAAGCAATGTCTCAGAGTGAAGCTGTCTCAGCTGAATGATATTAAGATTGAGAGTGATACTGAATATCTTATGAAGAAAATATTGAATAAGTGAATGTATTATAGTCAGCTTTAATATCTTATTAAATGAGAAGATTATTCATTATCAGAGAATTTATGAGAATCACTTGAGCATTTGAAAAATGCTGAGAAAGAGATTGTAAGCTATGAGATAACTAGTAGAGATCACTCTGTTACATGTCAGAGATATTGAGTAAGAAATACTGTTTGAGACTTGTTATTTTTTCTTAAAGAATTTTTAGAGATAATCTTGCAGTGATAAGCTGATATCTTGTAGACTCTGTAGCACTCTTCTTCTATTTTCTCTTAAAGAGTTTTTAGAAGTTTAATGAGACTATACAAGTATAAAATTCCTGAAGTGATTAAGAAAAGAAAGAAATATTTGAAATTAACAAAGATTAATATTATCAATCTGTGAGTCACTGCTATTCTAATAGAGCTGCAGCTCACTAAAAAAGTAAAAAGAAGAATCAGAGTCTACTTATTAATAATTATATCTTTATCAAACTTATTCTTCACTGTTGAAGTCTTCAGCATCAGTATCTTTATCTGCTGAGAAGTTAGCACTGCAGTGCTGGAGAGAAGTATACTGTAGAAGAGTATAAGAGATACTTAAAGTATTAATTTATTAATTTATAAAGCATCTCAGTTATCTACTTCAATTAAAGTGAGATTCTCTTCAATCAGTGATTAATCTTTATAATACTTTCAATAATAGTACTGACTGATCTCTTCTTGAGATCAGTCATTCTGAGATGTTTTTTCATCTCAGAGATTCACACTTTTATCTTCTTTTGTAGATAAGTAAGAGAGATCTTCTCAGTCTTGATGAAATCTATCAATACTTAGAGCTCTGAGACTCTCACTCTATACTACTTGAGTATCTGAGCTTCTTATCAGAACTGATATGATATCTTTCTGTGAGATAATACTTATAGAGAGATAGAAGTCATTGTTATAGATATAATGAAAAGAACAAAAGTAAGAGAAGAGATGAGTATATAAAATCTCTCTCTTCTTCAACTGCTTAGTGCAGTGTAGATAAGTAGTGATATTAGTCAGAGACTGCACTGAAGCCTTCTCACAGAGAGAAGATGAAGAAACTGCAGAACTCTGCAAACTCAACTTAGCAGTATTCTGAGCAGGGCTCAGACATGCTGTGAAAGAGAAATAATGAATTAAGCTTCTTAAAGTCACTGTCTCTGAAATCAAGCTCTCTCTGAGTTTCTCTCTGAATGACTATACAGGGTCATACATCACTGTGTTGACTGAGAGAGAGAGCAGTGTCACAACAGTGACAGAGAGAACAGAGAAAGAACTAGATACAGATAAACTGACTGACAGAAGAAATGACATCTCACTGTAAGATACAGTGACTATTATCATGACTGTAAGAGAAGTAGAAGAAGAAGAAGAAAAAGATGTGACAATGAAAGTAATACTTCTGCAGCTCAGTAACACTGCTGTCTTTGCCTTCAACCTGGCTTTCTTAGCAGCTATGAAGACTGCAGCTGCACTATGAAGACATTTATTATTCACTAGAAAATGTCAGAATAAGCTTTTTATTATCTCTCAAGAATGATGCTCTCATGCACTCACTATTGCAGATAAGGAGAAGGAAGAGAAAAATGTGTCACAGAGAAAGAGAAATCTTTTTGAAAAATCCTATCACTACTGTTAGCTTTGTCTCTAAAACACATCACTTTTACAGAGAATTTCATATATAGAATGAAATATGATGAGAGATCTGTAAGTCACTTATTAACTACATTTTTCACATTTTAAATCAATATATAAGAAACTCACTTATCATGTATTTGATTTAAATGAAGATGAGAAAAGAAAGATCTATACAGTCAGTAGAAAAACTCATCTATTTCTTTATACAGTATATGTACTGTTAATTGATTGATAATCATTGCTATATAACAGAGATAATTTCTAATTCAGTAATCTTAAGAGTATTAAGACTATGCTCTTAAAGAAGAGAGTATTATCATACCTCTGACTGTGTCAAGACTCTGCTATGATTTCACACAGCTCATCACTTTCATGTAGATGATTTCATTTCATCTGAACTGGTTTTCAATCACTCTATAACATTATTCAGATATATTATAGAAAGATTCAATTGATGAATATAAGAATCTCACTTCTATATAAGATCAGCAGATTACTTTTTCTTAACAGTGAGACACTGCTGAGATATTACTTCAGCTATTCTCACTCATGAAATGAAAGAAGAGTATTCACTCATTGTCTATATAGAATAGCTAGATGCTGGCTCTTTATCAAAGAAGTCAGTAATTCATTTTTTCTTCTACTGAAATATACACAAGAGTTACTGCATGTCTTATACATTCTTCTTAGTATACTAAGTATTATATCTGTGATATTCTTGTAATAACCCTGTAGTCTACAAGCTTGCTATTTAAGCAAGATAGTCAAGCTCACTCATACAGCTTCTCAAACAACTACTTCTATGTAATGCTGCCAACTAGTCACTGCTTCGGTTCTGTCACGTTATAATTAACACTTTTTAATATTGCTTTTTAATAATACTTTTTAATAATACTTTTTAATAATACTTTTTAATAATACTACTGTTAATTTTAAATAGATTGACTAATAATTTAAATATTATAGATTTAAATCATTGCTAATATAATTTATATCTTCTCTAAATAATAATAATAATTTCATAATATTTAATAAATAAATAAATTAGTCACTTTACTGAATATGATATAGAATATTAGAACACAGTGAAGTTCAATATATAAGATAACTATTCAGACTCTTCAATTGTGTTAAATAATTAATCATTCAGTGTAACACTCTGATCAGAAAAAGATTCAGATATTAAAACTTTTTAATATAAAGTAAACTCAGTTGAAATATATAATTGATTTACTGTTTCAGTTTTATAACATAATTAAGACAGTTTTAATTACTTATACATCAATACTGCAGTCAGTCTGATGAGTATATAACAGTTTATTTACTCATCTTAAGAAGCAGTTGAATCACTTAAAAAGAAATTCAGTCTGAGATAATACTATAGTACAAACTATTATTACTGTAAGAGATAAACTGATATATTATTACAGTAAAACTGAACAATCTTTTGCAGAGTACTATGCTATAGCTGCTCTACTAGATTTCTCTTATTAAGTTAATATCTACACTTCTCAAGATTAAATAGAGAAGAAATAAGACTTATATATTAAATTAGTCTGAGACTATAACAATGTTAACTATCAGAGATTTGAATAAGCAGATATTAAAGATATAAAGACAGTGAAATATAATTCTCTAATAAGTAATAATCTTAGATAATACTTTATATTATATAGAACTATAATACTAACTTTGAAACAGAACTTATATATATTAATTGTAACTGAAAATCAGATAAAACTATATATTTATAAAACTGAATTTAACTACTATCTTCAAGATAATTTAATAAATTTATATATTAAATTAATTCTAGAGTTATGAAAAATTATTAAGAGTATATATTCAACTATTACACTGATAATGTATAATATTCTGACAATTTTATTAACAGAGATAAGAATGAAGTAAAATTTTAACTCAAGCTGAGATATTTATTACTATTATCAGAGACAATTATAAGAAGAAATAATTAAGAAACTTATAATTATAAAATATAAAATTATCAGACAGTTTAATATCTCTGATTACAGTATATCAGAGAAGTATAGTTTTTATAAGAAAGTAAAGAATAAACTTGTATAAGAATATATTTAGTTATTTTATAAGTGTTATTAATAATTATTATTAAATTCTGATTATATAAGTAATTACTAAATAAACTGAATGAGACTGAATTTAATCTTCAGTCTCAGTTTTATTCTGATTTTGAAAGAATAATTATCTTTCACTATTTATTCTAAGAAATTACTCTTATTTCACAGTTTTTAAATTGAATCTGATCATTTTTCACATTATTTCTTTTAGAAATAATTCATTTTCAGGTTTTTTTAATGCTTAATTCTGATGAAACTTATATTAAGAAATGTATAAGATCAGATCAAATGAAATCAAATATGAAATTCATAGTCTCATTAGTCAGTCTAGGTAGAGAGAGCTGAGTAAGCAGTAAAGTAAGATAAGTAAGTATTTAATACTTGTAAAATATTATAAAATTATTAAATATTATTATTATTTAAACTTATTTTAAATATAGTACTTATATATTATACTTTTATATATATTATTTATATACTTAAAATATTATTATCACATTTATAATTTATTTTATTATTTAAGAATAACTTTATAATTTTCTCTGACACTTTTATATATTATATAATATCTCTTTCTCTGATTCTTTATTAATAGATATCTGAGTGTGAAAATGTGTATATAAAGTTCTTCTATTACTTTGCAATGTAAATAAACTACTCATTAATTAAAAAAGAGTTGAAAAGAAAAATTGAAAACAAATGTATTATACTGTAAAGTTTTACTATTTCAATTGCTGACTAAGCAGATACACTGAAAATATACAAAGTAAATATGATAAAAGAATTCTTCTATTCAGAGCAAACTCATATAATACTTACATAGATGTTTTTAAATAAAAAAAAAATAATATAATTCTTTGTAAGAACATGCTATTCAGGCTATAACCTGTGAGATGATTAACCTGTTGTATTTGTGTGGGAGGAGCTAGCTACATTTATATTACATATGAGATCACGTGTACGCGGAGCTATCACTATGGCAACGCCACTGGGGCGGACGCTGCTACATTTGGTCATCTGACTTCAAGCTCTCGCTCTTAGCGTTAGCCGCGGCGGAATATCTGCGCAACCTCTTGCAGCTCAATAAATTACAACATAACCGAGTCAAAGAATACTTCTTATTTCTAATGAGGCGAGAGAACCTCCCCATCGATGCTCTTGCGGCATGGGCTAGACTTAACAGCGTCCAATTCCACGGCGTTGAGGTCACGCAATTACAGACTGAAGCTGGAGTTGACAAGGGGTGTTCGGTTGTTGCGACTGCAAAGAAATCAGCCCCAGAGTTCGATCCAGAAACTCCAGCTGAGCCAGAAATATTGATGACTATTCCGTCTGATCTAGTGCTTTCACTAGAGTTAGTGGAAACCTGTGCCAAACCGACAGGCGTTTGAAGGAGATCTTGGATGCTATGGGGGAGTTCGCAAGGGTGTGTATTCCTCATCATGATCATCTTTTTATGCCATAACTTCGTAATAGGCGTATATTTATTGCTAATATCTGCGGACAGTCCGAGGGGCCATATTAATTTTCCTCCTGGTGCACATTTCATATTCGGATCCAGACTTATCGTCCAAGGAACACATTAAAATATCCAACGCATGGACAGAGTACATAAAATTTCTTCCGGCGTCATACTCTTTGCCAACTTGGTACACCATCGAGGAGCGTGAGCTTCTACATGGCACTTCACTGGAACTAGCTCTGGACTTGAAATTGGCTTCGCTAGAGAAAGAATTTGAGCAGTTACGTGAAGCTACGATGGATATCCCCTGGTGCAATCGTGATTGGTGGAACGAGGATACAGGCCGGCTTGCCTTCGAGGATTGGAAGTTAGTCGACGCCATGTATAGATCGCGAGCCCTGGAATTTCCCGGCAAGGGGCATTCTATGGTTCCCTGTGTGGATATGGCAAACCACACGTCGGGTATCCAGACCGGCGCGTTGTATGAGACCGATGCAAATGGAAACGCTGTTTTTCAGTTGGGATGGGGACAGAGTTTGGAGGTGGGCGACGAAGTAACCATCACGTATGCAAGAGCTTGATGGCAATTCACTTTGGCATCGACCCCGGATCCTTCTTATGCGGTGATGGGCAAGAAATCTAATTAAGTCTAGAACTGGGCTAACTTCGAAGACAAAACTGTAGATATGGTGACGAAAAGGGTGCTGCCGAGATGATATTCTCCTACGGATTTATTGAAAGCAACCTGACGAACGCACACCAGCTGTTTCTTGACCTCGATATCCCGGCTAGTGACCCACTAGCGCCCGCGAAAAAAGCTGTCTGTGATGTCGCCCCTGGATTCCGCCTTTTCATACCTCCCGGTTCTGACACGACTGATTGGGAAAGCTCATTCGTCTGGTGGTGTTGCGTAAACGAAGAGGACGGCCTAGAGTTCCGCGTCATTCAGTCAAACCAAGGAGAGCGGGAGCTCAAGGTTTCATGGAAAGGATCTAGCCTAAGCTCGTCCGGGTCATTGCTCGACCACCTCAAAATGGAACCTATGTGGGAGGTCTTTCAGCTTCGGGCGGTTGTAACGATACAGGACCGCATGGAGAGTCAACTTCTTCAGCTGCGTGCGAGGGACGAATATGTGCAACGATGGCTTGAATATGTCGACGAAAAGGTGATTCGCCGGTCTGTATGGCAAACAACTCTTAAACTCAGAGAATTGGAGGGAGAGCTCTTGGAAGCTGGGCTTCGTGATATAGAAGCAAAGGTACCGACCATTTTCCTGGCCTCGCCATTACCCCTCGCCCGCAGATTCTTTTTTGCTCAATGAATGACACATCGTGTTATCGATAATGTGTTCCAGGCTGGCTAACTGATGAACTTTGCCGTAAAATTGTGGTTCTTGATTTTGTTTGTTGACAGAAACTACAACTATTGGATACAGAGCCTGTTAAGGATTATTTGGCAACGCAGCACCCTGGCGCAGACATTGCGGAGGACTTCTCCTAAGTAACTCTCACCGTTGGCCAATATATTATAACCAGACTCTCCTCTCCAATGAGAAAAAAGATCGGCGAAACGAAATGAAAAGACTAGTACTTCGAGTGAATACTGGACTGCTTATTACCGTGAATTCTAATTGCTCTAGGTTATCTTACATGCAAAAGGCTTGACCTTGAACCTTTGGAATCGACATATATGGTGAACAGCCTCTCAGACACCCTAGTTTACGAAATCAACAATGACGGTCACTAAAAACATACTCATGAAAAATGCAGCAACTATTCTTTAAGTGAATGAAGTGCTAATTCTGTTTCATTGTTTCTTTTCATCTGAGATAATTTCTACTGATTTCTATATAAAATTTAACTTTGTTTGTCTCAGTTATATTCTTTCTTTTCTTTACATTCAAGCTTTTCTCATTCACTTCTATGCTTGCAACCTTCACTCTGTGACAAACTAACTTACTATCTTCATAGCTGTAAAATGTTCTTATTAAAGTTATTTAGATATGATCTGAAAAATATACTACTTTTTATCTGAAAAATCTGAGGTAAAATCAAGAGTAGTAATTTATAAAAGAAAGAGATTAAAATATTAATTTAATCTAAGATTTAATATTATATCTGACTCTGATATTCTAGTAAGTATTATTATAAATAAAGAGAATGAGTTTAATACTCTATAACTTATAAATATATATAATGAAAAGTTATTGAAAGAAAATAATAATACTTGAATAATTAACAGAGAATTTTTAAATATAACTTTATTAAAAAACTTCATAATTATAACAGACTTCACTCAATCAATTATATAAATCATTTTATTATACTTTATAGATTTTTATTCTCCCGCTCTGAAGCTTCAATTCTCAGTCACTCACTCTCAGTTAAAAAACTCACAGAATTTCTATTCTTCTACTTTGAAGCTTTACTATGTATATGTATAAATATTCACTCTGATCACTGATTTCTACACTTTCTCTTTTTTTTCTTCTCTAACATTTTTCACTTTTGTATTATAAGGTCTATAAATATCTTACTAATCTATTCAGTGTAGATCTCTTATACTTGAAAAATATTTATTATCTTCTTATTAGAAACAATTACTCACTGAGATATTTAAATACATAATAATATATAAGAAATAGAGAAATGAATAATCAGTTAAGTAGATACTAAGTCTTTAAAATAGAAGCTTACTAATCAGTTACTCTGACTCTGTAATAAGATCTTATAAAAAGAATAAGATCTTATAAAGAGAATAAGATTTTATAAAAGAATATCAGTAGAAGATCTGAGAGTTCTGATATCTTAGATATATAAGATATTTATATAATTACACTTCTTTTGACTTTACAGATATTACACATTTAATGAATAATATAACTATATCTATCAATAATATAAGAGAACTCTCAAATGCAAGTATAGATGTAGTATTACAGTGACTCTGAGTAATATTGAAGTTACAATAATAATAAATAGCTGATATACATACAAATCAATAATATTAATACAAGGAAATTCAATAATTAACTTGATAAGAAACCTCTGTAATTCTGATATCAATAGAATTAAATATGAACATAATATAAGTACTGAAGAAATGCTTAAATACTCTCATCTATTTCAATACTTCTGATCTCACTCTCTACTTATCATGAAGATTGAAAATGCTTATAAAACTAAGTAGAGATGAAAATACTATCAGTTTATTAACTATTCAAGATTGATATATCAATGAACAATTGAAGAATTATATAAGACAGAAGTTTTATTCATGAATAAAGACATGTATTATTATTATTATTATTCTTCAATTATAGATGTATGCAGTCAGAGACTATGACATCTACCTGAGAACTTTTAGTTCTCAGGGTTTTTCCTATATCTGTAAAGTTAACTATTATACATTCATCAATTTCAGATATGCAAAATGAGAAAATTCCAGCTCAGAATACAAAAACTGTTTACAAATTGCAGTGTTTTAACATCTTCTGATACTTTGAAACCATTTGACAATATTATGACAAAGGAAAAGAGAACACAGTCTTAAAGATAGACACATTAAATAGATAGACAGAAAGAAATTGAAAGAAAAAGATAAAGTAAAGAAAGACTGTAACAAAACAAATTATTAAAAGATAGTATATAGCTGTTTTAACAGACTATATCTGATTGATTTCCTCCTCTTCATATTCAGATAATTCTGAATTTAGTCATTTTCTTGTAGCTGCTTGAGTTTCTAATAGAAAGTCTATTAAGTATTTAATTCCTGTCTCAGTTGAGAATAAGAATCTCATATTTAATTGATTTAGATCATACTTCTCTTTCAATCTGGCTCTGAGACTATTGTATAATGCACAGTGTATTACAATATACTCAGGATTCTCATTTGTATTGCAGAATGAGCATTCTATTGAGTCAAATCTATCATCAAATCTTTATATATAAGATTTGAAATAGTCATGTCCTAGTTTCAGCTGTATTATAGATGAGAATATTTTCTTTTTACATTTAATTGAACAAGATTTTCACTTGGGTTTTGTTTCAAATCTTGAATAATGTATACTCTTCTTTTGTTTCTGTCAGCTTTCATTTCACTTATCTAAACAAGATTCTTTTATTTTTCTCTTTATAAAAGATCAGAACATAATTTTTTGAATAGATCTGCTTAATTCTGCACTCTTTTTTGCAGCTGAATCAGTCAATTCATTGTCATGAATATTCATATGAGCAGGAACTCAGTGCAGATGAATTATCAGCTTTGATATTCTTCTCTTTTGAATTTTCAAAACAGAGTTCAAGATCAGTTCAAGATTCATTTGATCATTATGAATCTGACTATTTCTAAGTCTTTTTAAAGCAGCTTGACTATCAGAGAATATTCATATCTCTTTCAAACAATTTCCTCTTTTATAAGATTTTATTTCAATGAGTTTGAAAGCTTTCACTATTACAAATAGTTCAGCATCAAAGACTTCACATTCATAGCCTAGATTTTAGAAATCTGAGATAAAATTGATATTATCTTCAGTATAAGCAATGCCTGTGCCTAATCTATTCAAGTTCTCATTTTTTGAGTCATCTGAATAAATCAGAATAGAGTCTTTTATATTGATTGTAGAAATTCTCTTCAAATACTGTTTATATTCTTTCTCTGTTGATAGTTCACTTATTTATAAGTCTATAAGAGATTCAAGCTTTTCTCTTCAGAGAGATAACTTCTCATGATCAACTTTTTCAACATTTAAAGAAGAAAATTAATTTTTAATCAGAGAGTATAGTCTATACAGTTGAGAAGACATTTTCTTTGAAGAATTATTTTCATTTCAATCAAGAAATCTATTTCAATTCAGTTCATTTCCAGAGTTAATTGATGGAAATGAAGAAGAGACTCTTTCTCTGATTATATGATTTAAGCTCATCTTTACAACTCTCAGAGTATAGTTTATACAGGTCTTTTCAAATCTAATAGCAGGAGAAGAAATTGAAGCTTCAATTTCCATTGCTTTAATAGAAGATGATTTGAATACTCTCAGAATTCTTCTCAAGGCTCTGTTTTACAGACTTTGAAAGAGTTCAGTGAAATTCTCTTGATTATTTCACCAAACTTGAACTTCATAATCAGCTACTGATGTAATACAGGCTATATATAACTGTCTTATAGCCTGGAAGAATAGACCTCTCTCTGTATTTAATAGTCTGATTATGTTGTTCAATAGTCTTTCTGTCTTGACAGTTCTTTGTTGTATGTGATATTTAAAATTCAACTTGGAGTTTAATCATACTTCTAATCATTTGATATTTACACTGGGTTTAATCTCTCTATTTAAAAGAGTTAGAGATAGTTCTTTCTCATTGAATCTAGAAAAGAAATGAATTAACTCAGTTTTATTCATATTAAATTGAATTTAATTGATATCTGCTCTAATAAAGATTTTCTTTGCAGCTTCTTCAATTACTTTCAAATTCTCTTTGATAGTTTTTGAGCTGTAGACTGAACCAATATCATTTATATAACTCAGAGATTACACTATTCTCATATTTCTATTTTTGAATAGATATGCAGTGTATATTACAAATAAAATGAGTGAGATTGAAGATCTCTGTGATACTTCTATTTCTATCTCAGTCTTGTCTTATTTCATTCTATCAAAGAAGAGTTGTATAATTCTTTTAAATATAAAACAGTTAACTCATTTTATTAGAGAAAGTGACAGTTTTAATATCTTCAATGTCTGAATTAACTTTGACTTTGAAACATGATTAAATGCTTCTTTTATATCAATAAAAACTACAGTTGAGACCAGACTCTCATGCTTTGCTATTTGAATATTATGAACAACTGAGAGAATAGTATCAATTGCAGAACACTGTTTTCTATCTCTCATTTATTCACTGAATAAAAGAGAATCACTTATAGAGCTTATAAAAGATAGTCAAGTAGCTATTATCTTTTCTAAAACCTTTTCTAGACAGTTCAATGGAGATATTACTCTATATGACTTAGAAATTGAAGTTTTTCTATTAGGTTTTGCAAGAATTACTTCAGTGACTTCTCTTCAGCATTCAGAATAATATTCATTTTTTAAGAGATTGAAAAATAGCTTAAAATATTCATTCTTTAAGTAGAAGTATGTATTTTGAATAATTAAGTGATTAATTGAATCAGGCCCTGCAGCAGTTTTAACTGAACTTGAGAAGATAGCTGACTCTAATTCATCTTATGTAAGATCAGGTCATTCTCAGTCATTTTCATTAATATAGTTAAGAAGTGATATATTCTCTTCCTCTGAATCTGAATCTGATGAGTTTTGAAAGAGAATTCTCATGAAAGCTTGACATTTTTTCTCAAAAGAGTTTGCTGTATATAATTCATTCTAAAACTTATATTCTAAGACTGAAAGTTTTGCTACACTTCTTGTTTTAGTATAGTTAAAAGCTTTAAAAACTTTCTTTTCTTAAACTTCTTCAAGAAATTTATTTCAGTAGTCTGTTTTA